AAAAGTACAACACAAAGGTCTCTGCTTATAACTTGTGTCCAAAACCTCTTTCTAATAACTCAAAACCTCTTACCATTTAAAAATCAACTGCTCCCTTCTCTGTGTTCCCATACCTCTTTGTTCAAGACTATTATATAGAGAATTTATCACAGTCGCTTATACCATTACCTCCCATAAGAGTATATATGAGATTATGGAAGACTGAGCTGTTAGCATTCTCCAGCAAAAGTCATGTGGTACTTGAATCATATTAAAGGGATCTAGAGTAGTGTCAGAAATACGAGCACAGGTGTGAGATGACTAGCTTCCAAAGTCAGTTCCACTTGAAAAGAGCTAAGTTACTTAGCTTCTTTGTGTTTCAGTTTCCTTATCAAACTAAACACAAAGAGGCTAAGTAACTTAGTTCTTTTCAAGTGGAACTGACTTTAAAATGGATTTATAAAAATATAACTACCTCATGGGTTGTCATGAGGATTGTGTTAATATCTAAAAATAATTCAGGACATAATTCTATGCTCAGTAAAAGTATTGTTAATATTGTTAATATTGTTATTAAAGTAAATTAAGGATGGCCCAAAATCACTTGAAATTGGTGCATTTTCACTCCTAGGCATGAGGTACTTAAAACTGAGACTAGCCAGATTATTTCAGATTATTTCAGATTTTTAGGCTTTTTCTTTTTTCCCCCCACATTTTATTCTCTTCTAAGTTGGATGTCTTGTACAGGCTGTCTCCTGGAACGATTTCTTATTAAAATAAGAGATATTTGCCTATGAAATGTCATGTGATAAATTAGTTGGCATGATGTTACCATACTAACACACACAGAGTATAGCAGACTGAAATCAAGAGATTTGAGATGGCAGAAGAATAAGTGTATTATTTTAGGCAGTGGCAGCCATGACTTACTGGTAAGTTTGACTATAGGTCTGACCATACAATTTCCATGAGAAATAACTGACCTCAAGTGGTAAGTGAACCCTGATATCTTCATTGAGATCTTAATTGTGGCAATGTTAATGCTATCTGGGAAAGATGAAGCAGGCAACATGTAGGTTAATTAAAAAGACAAATGGATGGCAAGCGAGTCTGAATAATAAATTCACTGGGAAAAAGTTATGTTCTACTAAAATTTAATAGCAATGATCATTTCTTAATGAATGTTTAATTTTATTATTTCAAAGGTTTCTTTTTGGATTAACAAAATTTAGCTAGGAAAAAGATGATTCCAGACATAAATTGAGGCATGGGCCATTAATGTTACTGTAGAAACACACACTTCACAAGTAGCAATGCAGAAAAGGTAAATTATTATTCCTTCTAAAAGTTACATAAGTGCAAGGGAAGAACAGTTTGGAATGAAGCAGTCAGTCTAGTTACTATATGGCTGTGGGCAGGTATTCCTGAGAAGACAACATCCAGGGTTCCCAGGACTGCTTGTTTGCAATCTGGGTCACTCCAGTTCTAGATAGAGAGCAAAATGCTTAAAAGTATGCTTGTGCTTTGAAATTTAGAGAACTTTCTTATGTACCATCTCATTTATTGTACATAGCAAGAACAATGTGTTCCTATTTCATGTAAGGGGGTCTGAGAAGTTAAGTGACTTAGTCAACTTCACAGAGCAAATAATAACAGAACAATGGCCTAGGACATTTCACTGATTACTCAAGATCCTTTAATTTATACTGAGGACTTTGATGCTTAAGACTACACTCTGTTGATTGTGAAAGACAGGATATAATGATTCTCAGTAACAGCTAATAACTTATACTTTTCCCCTGAATTTTTGCTTTACTTTGGCTGGGAATATTCACATATCTTCATTGATTTATTTGTCCCATAGGCATACAAACTATGTACTTTGTTCATGACTGAGAATAAAGGCTACATAAAAATTTCAGGTAGGGTATAAGTCTGCATATTTAATCAATGAAATTGAGACATAGCTTAGAAGCTTCTCTTCTTCTTTTTCCTATTCAAACAATGATATTCTGAGCCTTGTCATAACTTGGTTACTAGTTTTGTAAATCTGAATCTAATTCCTATGATGTGAAAAGTGATTAACATTAGTTACTCGATTTTGGTATAAGCTTACAGACTGAAAGTAATATCAACATTAATTTAAGTGAACCATAAATAAAGTAACAGCAGTAGTATTAAAACATTATTTGCCTCCTTTTCAAGACAAGAAAGATGAGGTCTAGAACTTTTCATGTGTACCGTGAGAGTGAGATGTAGAATCAAACTTGAATTAAGATTTTTCAATTAAACTAGATTTAAATTAATAACTGAAACTAATTTATCTTCCTTGATGTAGCTAGAACTGGAAAGAATAATGGAATATGCTCTTTCTATAAAATATGAACAGCCTTTACTATAAGGAAAATAATCAAGCTTTTTATTCAAACAGTTGTCTAGAACCATCCCATTTAAGGCTACATTAATTCTGCAAATTCTAAATCCCAATAATTTTTTTTTTCAAAATTAAGTGTGAAATTCTTCCTTGAAGAGCTTCCATTGCCCATTACTAAAGATTCTTTTTTGACTACTAAGGAATGTTTTTTATTTGCTTCATAATTTAAAATATTCTTACAGTAAGAAAGTATTGATTTTCTTTGTAGCATCTATAAGAAACCAAAGAAGAATATCTTTCAACCTAAAGATGAATAAACTAAAATATGAGGAAGAATTTTTTCTAATTTATCTGAACACTTTAGTGTCAAGTTATGAGATTGGTATAGAAGAGTTTCACTGTTTCACAAGCATCACCATCATTTTTTAAATTAACACTGGTGGTATTTCACTGAATAAAAAATTTAGGTTAGTAGAACTTTCCTCATCTATGTAAATTTTTATTTTATACATTCACCTTGTAAAATTATTTATAAATACCTCCCAAAGGTCAAAATAATATGATGAGTTCTGGGGGTACAGTAATGCATAAAAGAATCTAGGCAGTGCCCACACCATGCGTATCACCTAGAGCAGTGATGACTAACAGAAAACAGTAAAATGATTCCATAATAATGGAATCATTATAGAGAACTCAACCTTTAACAGTATTTACTAAAATTGACTTTTACCTACATATATGAACTGTATCATATTCACTGTATCATTTGTCAGTGTCCTAATATATTCTAACAACATAATTATTTTGAAAAAAGGTAAATCATTCCTAGTCTATATTCTCATCTAATGTCTATCTAAGTAAAATAAAATAAAATGAAATTGTAAAACTATGGTTTTATTTCTCCAAGTTTGCAAATTGGGATCCTGGGAAAGAAAAGTTAATTCAGTTTCTGTAAGACAGAGTCCTAATTATGCATCCATTTCACAAGTTTCCAAATTCTGGCTTAGTCCAAACTTTGTAACTAATAAAGGCTGTTACCTTGAGGAAACTGTTCACCTTAGCTCAGTTCTTTCAACCATCAGATGAGGCTGTTTTAGTGGAATATATCTACGATGCCCTATTAGCACAGAGTCCTCATGTTTATCACCAGAACATTCTGGATTTTCTTATGAATAAAAAGGTCTGATTTTTCACTGCTCTTCTTCCCAATATGTGACAGAGAGAACTACACATGTACCTAGTTATAGAATAACAGAAAGGATAAAGTAGAGGCATGTTAGTGTGGAAGGGGAAGGTAAAAGGGATATGATGAAGGTAAATGTAATGTCAGTTTGCTAACATAGACCTTTTGAGGATAAGATACCATGGAATATTTAATGCTAACATAAACAACATAAATTTTGTTCTTACTTATCCAAAGTAAGAAGGACCTGGATGCATGCAGTTTAAAAATGAGTCACTTTATATATCTTATAAAAGCTGTATAGAATTAGTCTATGGGCCCTTCCTTAATTGGAGAGCAGCAGGTTAAAGCACAGCACTACGAAGCTAAAGCCACTTCAGAACAAGTCCAATTCCCGGCCAGGGAGCTAACCCACATGGTACAGCAGACCTCTCCTGACCCACCTGCTGCTCGTACTTCATCAATGTGCCTGTTCTGATTCCCACTCTGTCTCTGGTGAATCCACTCACAGCCCCTGTACCCCTGTTCTGTATGCATAAATAAGTAAATCTTTATTAAAAAAAAAAGAATTACTCTTATAAAATCATGTCATAAACCATTGCTATATAATCCCTAAATCTTGATCTTAAGATTCATAATTTTTACTCCTTAAACTATAGATAATATTAATTAATAGATAATATTAATTACTGAAAACAACAAAAGGAACTGTTGAAAAGAAATTTTAAGACGTTTGGAAAGTAAAAATGATGTACAGTTTCATCATGTTGAAGATGAGAACTTACATTGGAATTCTATTAGATAACTATAGGAATGGTATTTTTTGCCTGGAAAACTTTTATCCTAGAACACAGCTGTGTAACAACTTTGGCTTCAAACAGAAAGGCTATAATAAAGCGCCTCCTAGCTAGACTTAGGTTCAAGAGGTTTATGGTGACGAACAGCAGAAAAGATGAAATGTTTCAATAAGCCCCTCAGGCTGATTTAGTTAGCATTCACAAAGTGGAATAACCTATACATCACATACCCTTTGTTAGCTGGTTGTTTAGAATAGATGTATGAGTCACTGGATTTTATTTTAGCAATTGGGAAATGCAATTCTCCTTTTGCCCAAAATATTAAAATGCAGAAATGTGAAACTAAGAGAAGTGATGTCAGATCTTATACAGGATGCTTATTACCACTATGATGGATCAAGAAATTCTGTTCTTGTTATACACACTTCACTTGTGTGTGTGTATGTGGGTGTGGGTATATATATACACAATTAAACTACTCACAAACTACAGTATATTTTGACATGGTGTGTGGGTTAGGGAGGGGGGAAGTTTGCAAAACCAAAAAAAGCTGGTGTGAGAGAAAGACAGGCAAATGAATACAAGTACAAAAGAATCCCTCTGGGAGTTGGAGGACTGATACATATATACATTACCCCCCACCTCTGTTCAGAATTAATGATGGTACCTGCAACAATGCTGGCAAGCTGTTGGGTTCTGCTGATGGGGTAGAAGCTGCGTGCTTGAATGATAGCTGAAGCGATTTTCTTGGCGTGCTTCTCTTCCCCGTATGTTCTCAGGATGGATGCAAGTGCCTGTTGATCCAAAGCGTTCACAACATCAGCTGCAGTGGGCATGTCAGGGTACCTAGTACACAAGAAGAGAAATTAGCTTACTGACATTGGCTTTCATTGTTGAGAGGTAAAAATTAAGACTTCTGAGACAGTCAGGCGTGTACACACAGTCTAAGAGAGTTTCTGAGGTTTTCAAAGTCTGAAACTGAAATCTTACATGAACAAAGTAGATCTTTTATTTCAAATGACCATCATTACGTTGTGAAGGGAAGATATGTGACTTTCATCAAGTCAAGGGCAACAAGAAGTTAAAATATTTTATTAACCTTTAACTCACAAGGTAGCTATTATTGCTCATGCTCATGTTCCTTAAACTAAAACATTGGAAATGCCTGGATTCAGTTTTTTCAGAATTTAAATTACTGCGTGAATTTTTTTCAGTGCACAAAATCAGAAGCTTACAGACTGGTAAAAGAAACTTTCTCAAAAAACAAAAAGGCAATGGACACAAGGGAGAAAATATTTATACATCACACATCTGACAAGGGGCTAATTACCAAACTACACAAAGTACTTATACAATCCAACAACAAAGTCAACCCAATCAGAAAATGAGTAAAAGACCTAAACAGGTATTTCCTAAAGAGACACTCAGATGGTCTACAGACACATGAAAATTTGTTAGACATCACTTATTATAGGGAAAATGCAAAGCAAACCACAATGAATTATTAGCTCACCCCTGTGAGAACGGCACATATAAAAGGGATGGAAAACACAAATGTTGGTGAGGATATGAAAAAAAGGGGAAACTCCATCCACTGTTGGTTGAATACAAATTGGTATAGCTTCTATGGAATAAATGGTGTGGGGATTTCATAATAAAAAATGGAAATCGTTCATGATCTAATACCTCTGCAAAGTGTTTACCAAAAAAAAAAAAAAAAAAATCTCACAACAAAACTGTAACAATTACCAAGTCATAAAACCAACCTAAGTGCCTATTGACAGATAACTGGATAAAGAAACGTGGACTATATACTCAATAGAATACTACATCACTGTTTAAAAAGGTGAAATATTGTCTTTTGAGAAAAAAATGGGTGGGACTTGAGCTGACTGTGTTAGGTGAAATAAATCAGAAAGTAAAAGAGAGGTATTTTCTGGTTTCACTCAACTGTAGAATATAAATAACCAAAACCGCAAAATACAGCAAAAATCTATATAAAAAGCTAACTGCCAGTCAGTTTCCTTCGCAAAAACTAAAACCATAAATAATAGCAACATATTTTATTTTGCATATTTAACAATTATTGGCTATTCATCCATAACAAAAGTTCACCATGGGGTAAAACTTGATAATAAACAACAGTACTAAACAAGATTAGATGGCAATTTTAAATGAGAGAAACAAAGAAATACCAATCTCTGGTGAAATAGGAAAAAATTATATTAATAATAATAAGATAGCATTCATTTTGTCTGACACTGCAGTTTACTTTAGGGAAACAGGTCATGGACTTCTAAAAGTGATGAATTAATGGAGGCTGCACTTATTAGATAGTTTTGCTAATAGTACAGTTACTATTATTACAGTCAGCATGCTGGATTGATTGTTGGTTTTATTTATGAGAACTTAAAATTACAAAGATAGGTAACTTTAAAATCTGAGGATCAAACCAGAATAGACTTGCCGGGAAACATCTGTATCCCGCCTTAAAAACACTACCCTGCACCTTGTAAATGTTGAGTATTACAGAGGACATTCTGCAGTACTTCACTTATCCTCAACTTTTGCCATGATCTCCCTTCCCATAACCCTCTCCTTCAAATTCTAATCTATGAAAGTAGCAATGCTTACCTAGGTGCACACAAGTGTAAATGCCTGGCACACAGAAAATATCAAAGAATGCCATATTGTTCCGTAAAGCCTCCTCATTCCTGTATTTGCCAATCATTATTCTCAGTCAAACTGCCAAAAGTCACCACTGGATTTTATCTAGTTAGGAATTTAACTGCCCCAAACACTAAACATTAATCTTGTTCATGATAGTAAAATTAGATACCACAGAATACATCTTGTTTCTCTAGCACATTTGAAATACTAGTATAAGAACACTTAGTAGTTTTTTATGCCTTTCTGTTTTTAAGTAAGAAAATTAAAACAGCATTTTTCTCAAAAATAGTTCAATGAATAATAAGCAAAATTTTATTTTGCTTGTGTTAGCATTGAATAGCAGCGTTGAATTTCCATAGGCAACTGGCAAAATGCAGCAAGACCATGGAAAGGCTGCTGGGAAGCTTTCAAATAGGCATTCACATAGGAAAGAAGTCAAGGTGCATGCATTGTACCCCCAGCTTAATTTGTTAAAAGATCTTGTCAGTTCTCTGGACATCATTACTATGACTAAAGTTATTCGAGAGAAAATATTAACAAGGTTGTGATTTATATTATCTTTTATTGCAGAGTGCAACTGACAACAAAACTCAGAACCACACGTTCCTGAAGCTGCAGTGTCATTCTGCTACATGTTATATGGTATCAGTGTTAAATGGCAACAGGTTAAGAAAGCCTGCCTCCAGGGTCTGACCACCACCACAGCACCCAACTTGGATTAGGAGTACATATACTTACATCTTGGACACTCCTTTCTTTATGAAGTCACGTGAATCAACTACCGCTTTCTGAATGCCACATACTTTCTTCAGATCTGCTAATATCTTTGATTAGGTTCTAGCCTATGCTATCTATCTGGAAGCCACTCTGCTTTATAAAATATATTTGCTCAATTCTAATCTCATCCATTATGTACTGAGTTAGAATTTAATTCTCAAGGGAAATTTTATTTTCAAGGTCTTAAGGGTGAACTTCAGGAACTCTGATTCAGAGTACAATTTGCTAATAAATCTTCCTATTACCAACATGAGGATTTACTATTAACTAGAAGTTTTCTTCATTGTATTTCAGAAGGCATCTTCCTTATCAATATATAGAACATCAGAAATTTGCTTGACATTTTATTACCTCTGTAAAAGAACCTCAATCTCCAAACATGACAAAACATTTGACCTTTATTATTAGGCTTTTTATTGTTTTCTTTTATGATTACATTCTTCACTCTCTGAATGCCAATTTATGCAAAAGAAGGTATAAGAATCAGAAAGAAAAAGGTCCCAGCAACTACAGATCACTGTCCAAATTAACAGGTAATAAAACAACATGTGAATAGCTACCGCAAATCAAAAGAGTCTGTGGGACAGAAGTCAGTCAATTCAACACTAATTTGTTCACTTAGATTGGACACACTTAAATTGGACATTAAATTCTTATATGTAGGTCTTCTAACAAATTGGAAGTTTTTTTAAAACTTGTTTTAAAATATGTTTTCCAGTAGAAATGCTTATCTAGGTCTAGAACTACAGCTCATTAACAATAACAGAATGTTTTTCTTACTTAGATATAAGAGTATGATGCGTTTTTTAGGTGGTGAGCTTTCTAATGGTGGAATACATGTCACATCATTTGGTGATGGTGGTAAAGGTGAGAAACCTTTGGTTAAGCATTGTAGGTATAATGGAGAACAAAGACTAGAATTTCCAAAGTGATGATTAATGCAGTGGAAATATAAAGCTGTCCTATGCAGTCTTAATATAGTACTATATATTATAGTTCTCTGAGGTAGGTAAACTAGTGAGAATGTACAAGAAGCAAGACAAAACATAACCGCTGACCTCTAGGATATTACTTTTTACATAGTGTTCAAAGGAATATTAGTTTTGTTTACTTCTAAGAAGCATATAGTTGTTTCTACAATTCCATAAAAACGGAATCACTGTTTTAGAATCATATTCATCAAAACTGTTAGTAGTCTAAAAACCCACAATGTATCTGTAAAAATAAATGTAAAATTATCTTCTTCACTGATTTTATACAAAGATGCTAAAGATTTTTCTTTTAAAATTCCAAATCTAGAGAAATACTAGTCTGTATAATGAGAAGCACAAAATAAAAACGGATTTATTGTATATGGATAGTGTTATGTGTTGTATGTGATGAGAATTCTAAGTCTTAAAAGGAAATTAAATTCAGAATTGTATTGAGACACCAACTACTGGCTGTGGGGAGAAATGTATTATCAATACTCACCTGTCACAGTCCATCCTCATGTCCAAAGGGCCATCCTTCCGAAGGGAAAAACCTCTTTCGGGGTTATCAAGTTGCATGGAAGAACATCCAAGATCCAAAAGAACCCCATCCAAAGTTCCTGGTTGCACCCCACTTTTCATTAACAAGGCTTCTGCCTGGCTGAATTGCCCTAGGAGAGCATGTATCTGTTTACTGTGAATAAACCAGGAGATGGAGAAGACATTTTAAAATCTTTCTTGAGGTCTATGATCAAAGGAAAGGAGCACATGCTGTTGTTAGATGACTTAGCCAAAACAGACTTAATAATTATGCTTCCCACGTGCTTGACACAATATAAATACCTACCTAAAGATTTGGACAAAGTACAGTTTTGGTTTCAACACTAGAGGTAATTTGATGTAATTTCATTCTTGCTAATAAGCACAATTTATTCTATACCTCTGTGATGGTAGACAGCAAGTTTGTGAATTAGAAAAATCTGTCAGAACATGTATTTTACTTTTTCTAAAATGTTTTCTTAAATTGACAGGTTAAGAAAAGAAGCATATATCATTCTGTCAGAAGAATAAATTTAGAGATAACAATTGGTAAGTATGTAAATAAAAGGGAGCCACTGTCCATTTTTTATAATTAAGTATATGGAAAAAGGGAATCCTAATGTACTATTGATGAGAATGCACGCTGGAGCAGATGCTAGGAAACATGGAGGTTTCTAAAAAAAATTTACAAAAGCACCATAATCTAATCTGGCAATTCCACTTATGGAAATATGAGCATTATTTATAATAGCCAAAATATGGAGACAACATACATGTCTATGAACAGACAGATAGATAAAAGAAATGGTACATATATGCAAGTGAACATTATTCAACCACAAGAAAGAAGGAAATCCTACTATCTGCAACAATATGGGCAGAACTTGAGGGCAGTAGGCTAACTGAAATAAGTCAAATAAAGACAAATAGTATATGACCTCATTTGTAAGTGTTGGGGGGGGTGTGGCTAAGCAGAGAGAGAACAAATCAATAATAAAAGAGATCGTATTTGTGGTTACCAGATAATGGGGGCTAAAAGGAGGGGTAGATGAATGTTCAGAGACTTCCATCTGTAAGGACTAGAGATGTAATGTGCAACCTGATGACTACAGGTAACACTGCTGTGTAAGATATATCAAAGTTAAGCGAGAAGATCCAGAAAATTCATTATCACAGGAAAATAATCACTTATTTTTCTCTATCCTTTTTTGTAGCTATACGAGATGATGAATGTTAACTAAACTTAGTACAGCCAGTAATCATTTCACTAAATATGTAAGTCAAATCACTATTTTGTATCCCTAAAAACCTATACAGTGCTATATGTCAAGTGTATCTCAGTAACGATGGAAAGACAAAATTTAATAAGGAAGCCAACTTAAATAAAATAAAAGCTAAAATCACAGAAAGAGATATCAAACCCCTTCAACTTTTTTTATTTTTCTCATAATTTAAGATAGGTTGTGCCATGCAGCTGCACAGTTGAACTGAAACTATGCCTAAAATAAGTACTTTCGTACCTTCTTGCAGAAGCAATGTTTTAGCTGTCTGCAGGGATTTTTTAAGTGAATGGAGGATTCAGAATCAACATCCAGAAGAGTTGGGATCACCCTATAGTTATACTATTCTCCTCCCTACACAGACTGTGATGCTGCTTCAGGGTTCTTCAGAAGCCTTAGGACAACTGGCATATACTTTGGAAGAGTGTACGGAATGAATGTTCCTCATTCTCAAAAATGAGGAAAATTGGGCAATATCTCCAAAACTTTTTCTACAGCTGTGTAGTATGAGTTTCAATGGTAATGGGAAAACAATATTCATGATATCTACTAAAAATACTATGTTTTTAAAGGAGAACTTCACAGCTTATAGGTAACTTTTCCTCATATTCTGATGAAAGTAATTTTCAAATTTGTTCACCATATATTCATTAAATATCTTTTATGTGTCACCCATTATACTACTTGAAATTATATGAAAATTAATAAAGCCTGGCTTTTGAAACTGAAGAGTTGAAAGGAAGAGATAGAAATAATTTATAAAATAACCTAGTGGGTACAGAAAGAGAGACAAATTACTATACTTATATTTTGAAAATATAAAATGAATGCTTACACTAGCATTGGAACTACAGAAGTAGAACCTTGCGATTGTAAGGGAACCCACAAATTATTCATTTCAACTATTTAACTGAAGTTTGGATCTTTTTCTTCTCCAATATTACTGCCAGGGTGAGGGAAGGACGAAGTCATTGTTTTAACTACCTCTCATTCACCCCTTTGGTTAGAGAGGGTTTCCCATTCTAGAATTATGGAAATGGCCAAACACACAGCACAAGACATCGGACAGGCGAGACTGAAAGAAATTAAATAATCAGAGCCCAGGGAAGAGGATACCGGGTGCCACACATGGTCATAGTGGCTTGCATCAGGAATAGTGCAGACAGCCAGAAGGGGTAGGAAGCATCAATAGAGTGGGGGCATCTTGGTTCTCCAAGGAGGGTCTGATTAACCTGTTTGAATAATTCTATGTGGGCTGGCACGAAATGACAACTGTTCCTCAGGGGTAAGCAGAAGCTGTGTTGTTCCCTTAGATAGGAAGGGTCATTTACCAAAGGAAACTCATCTGTGGAATGTTAGTAAGAATTTATGGTTAAGGGCCCTCCCTGGTGGCGTAGCGGGTTAAAGCACTGCACTAAGATTAAGCCACTTCCGCATGAGTTCGATCCCGATCCCGCCTGCCTTGGAGGAGATCCACAGGGGAGGCAGACCTCTCCTGGCCTGCCCGCTGCACCCCTCAGCCGTGTACTTCCTCGATCTGCCTGTTCTGCTCCCCACTGTGTCTCTGGTGAAGCCTCTCACCCTCCGCATCTCTGGCCTGTACCCCAGTTCTGTAAGAATAAATAAATCTTAAAAAAAAAAAGAGAATTTATGGTTAAGACACTTGAGACTCTCCTGTTTGGCCCCGTTACTGGACTTGAATTTTTGGTCTTACACAACAGTCATCAAGCTCATGCTTGAACATTCCCACTAATGAGAATTCACTAGTGGTTTGTTAGTCAGTTCTCTTTTTTTAGTCTAGCTGGTGTATGTTTCTTCACTATTTCTTTAACTTTTTCTCTGGTGTCATCTATGTAAAACAACTGAAAACTATAACCCACAACAGTCATTCATATATCTAATGTTAACTATTATAAATGACAGCTCAAGCTATAGATTTATGAGGATTAGCTAATTTGTACACACCATACCATAGTCTCTATAATAAATAAGGTGTCACAACTCTGGCCAATGAGATACAGGAGACATCACACTCAACTATTTAATTTATATAACTCAATTCTATTGCTATTTCTAGATGCCCCCACCCACCAAAAAGAAAAACAACAATAACAACAACAAAACTACTTTCACCATGCTAGTTGCTCCATTCTGAATATGTTACAGTTTACCTATGTCCTTAAACCTGAATTCCATAATCATGGAAAGAATAAAGTAAATTCTTGCCTCTTTTGCCAGTTTTATGTAACACAGATTTTATGTAACACAGTACAAGATAAATATAGTTTTACAGTTTATTTCATACTGTTGACATACATATATCTAAAGCCCTTGAGTATGTCCATGTACACTGCTATAGTACTGCTCTCTTTTATGTACCTGTACAATTTTGTTTTGCTAGTTATTTTAAACCTAAGTAACATTTCTAACCTACACATGTTATACAGCTCTTTAAAGGATCCAGTCATTAACTTTAACCACAGAAATCTTCTTTACACTGCATAAAAAGTTTCAATAAATCCTTATTGCCTTGTCTTGTCTTGATTCCTTTGGCATGGTATTTATTATCCAACTTGAAGTTAATACACTTGAAAAATATAATATCTTGTATGGTGTGTTTGCTTTCTTGATGTACTCATCTGTGTTTAACACACAACAGAGTTTTATGCTTCACACTGAATAAAAACTAAAATATAATCCTGTAGGCCAAAATTCAGTGTTAAGATATAAATGTATGAATATGTCATGTAGAAAAATAAGTAGGAAGTAAATCATGTATTCAAAACAGAGTTTTTGATGCTATGCAGTCTCGTGTTTCTAGAATTAGGTTGTCCTCAGGGTAAAGAAACCACATATGTAGTTTGCAGACCAATCTCTTGAAAACCCTTAATGTTAGAACCTGGAACACTATTTTTTATATGTGATTATGTTGAAGCTGACCTAGACAGGTATATTTCATGCCTCTCATTTCTTGTTCTCTTCTTCCATTCCTTTCTCCATTGTTTCCTCACTCAGGTCTCTCTTTCTTTCAAATTTTGATTTTTACTAATTTTGCACATACAGAATACATTTTTTTAATAGGTATCATACAAAAATTAACAGGAAAGTGACAAAGAGGATCATGAGGTCACAAAAACTGAGCTACACCACAACATTTAGTAATAACCACAAATGCACAATTTGTTCAAATTATCATCATCATCATAATTTGTTATCATCTTATGTTCCGTAGGATATAAAAATGAACTTGGAAAAAGAAAATACTTTTTGTTTTTCCATGAGCTACCAGAAGGATAATAAATTGTACTATAAGTGAAAACACAAGTTACGTGGCTCAACCACAAGAAAAGCCAAGCTGCTTGGCAAGAGAGTGTCAACAATTGTTAGGTAGCTGGAAGTCATTGTTAGAGATCCTGACTGCTGACAGATACTGTTAATCTTGATTCTGGCAGGCTATCTGTACTGAATGCACAAATCATTACTCTGTTTTATCATAAAGGACTAATACACCAAGGTTCATGATATAATATCATCCATTTCATATTAAACATAGGGCTTCTTTTATCCATACATAGTCTACTGATAGGGGTTAGTGATGAATTATTTCACAATTAAAGAAGGGGATCCAACTCATAGGATCAAATATCTTGTAGTTAAAACCATTTTGGTTTTAGAAATCTTAAACTCCCATGGTTCATAAAGTGCTTCACTGCCCAGGGTAAATAATTTTCAGTTTCATGTAGAGGACTTACATGTATAGAAAAATCAATTTTTTTAATTGGCTATTTGAAAAGTAATTTTAAAAATGTGAAGTCTGAACACAAATTTTCAGAAAAAAAAATTGAATTTGGAGATTATTCTTCTGAGGCAAGAA